TTGGGCAAAATATAATAACGGTGATAAACACAATTTCCATGTGACTGACACAAATGCCCCGACTCCAAATGAACTCACCCTTTACTTTCTGCAGGCTTATACCTCAGCAGTTGAGAACTCCAGGGAACATCTTACCCCTTAGATTCAGGGCTGCCTCTATATTTATGCACCTACAGTCAATTCATGATTCTACTCCACATTTTTACATCTTTCCCCTTCTCTTTCAGCCTTCTATGAACTCCCCACTCCTGAGACAGGCAAGCTTCAGAACTGAGGCTAGTGAATGATCCCTGTCATACCAGGAGATAATGGATATGAGATCTTTCCAGTGGTATATATCTCCTCAGACTGCCCTTCTTCCTTCTTTTCCTGAATTTCTCCTTCCATACATTAAAGGATATGATCAGTTTAAAAAGTGAAGCTAAAAACTTTTATTAGTGTAAGCAACACATTGACATGAATGCCCCTCAAAAATCCCCCCTCATTTTGAATACACTTGTCCTATTGTTCTTGCCATTTTCTGAAGTAGTCCTGGATGCCCTCTTTCATGTCTTTAGGTTGCTCTGTTGTGGCTGCCTCAAAGTCCTGAATCCATTCAAGACATTTACCTTTCATGGTGCTCTTTACTTTGGGAAAGTCACATGGTACTCAGTGCCAGATTTGATAAATAGGATAGGTGAGGACACATCATAATGTTTTTACTTGACAGGAATTAATATTTGATCAATGAAAGGTAATCCAAAAATACAGTGTGTGTTTAAAGTTTTTAAAAAATTATTACAGTAAAAAATGTTGCCACTAATCCCCCTCAAAATACACCCTCTCAGTTGGAACACACTTATCCATCATTTCTGGCAGTGATTCTTTCACTGTAGTAAGTTTTTTTGTTTTGAATTTCAACATCCATTGTATTTTTCAGACACCTTATACACACGCTAACTCAGGGCCTTCTCTCCTCTAACCTGAGTATGCTTCTAGTAGCATGCTGGTGAACTGGCTGCATGAAAAAATAAACCCTTGATTTTTAGTGTTTGTTATTGCTGCGGTGTTCATACTCCCACAAGGGCCACTTTCAAGCTATCTGCAGAGACTGAGCCCTCATGCCTGGAAGTATAGCCCACCTCTCTGATCACCAGTGCTACACCGTGCTCCCTCCTCCTCCCTCAGACAACTGCACAGGGCTTCTTTCTCAGGCCCTTGTAGGGATTATTTGAGCTTCATAAAACCCTGCAACCAGGGTTAGTTGAATAAAGTCCCTTAAATCACTCATGTTGGTCCTGTAGGATGTTCAGCTACACACTTTCCATCATTCATGAAGCTCAGTATCTGTTCGTGGTAGGGAAACATAAGAGGATTTGGACCATCTCCCCATCTCTCATCCTTCACAATTTTCTAGTTCCCTAGGATGCTGGGTGTCATTTTTGTGTGTTTTCTTTTCTTTTAGGGATGTGTTTGTGACACGTAATAATTATATTTACAGGGGGGGAGTTGGTACATATACATATCACATCTTCATCATTTTACTTCCCCTTCCTCTTCCCATCCTTCCATCTCCCTCCTTCCCATTTCCACAAAGTCTGCCTCCTGGTTTCCTACCAGCACTCTTTCATTTTGCTCTTAAACAACATTCACACTGGCTTAAAGCAATGGTGGTACATGCATGACTGTCCCGTATCGTGGCTTTTATCACCTGATGGGGCTCTCCTATGCTACCAGATGGGACCTTCTTGCTTGTACCACTGGTGGTTTAGAGGCACCTGGCAGCAAGATGTATGAATTATGGCCCCACTGTGAACGTGTCAAACTTTATCTTTTGGGACTCTCATATTTGAGACACCATGCAACATTTAACCTTCTGTATATGATTTATTTCACTTTGTTTTATGGTCTCAAGATCTTCATATTTTTCTATGGATGACTCCAATTTATCCTTTTTTTATGACAGAGAAGTAGCCCATGTATATATATTCCACATTTTTCTTCATTCATCTGTTGATGAGCATATAGGCCATTTCCATAATTTAGCTATTATAAGTTGTGCTGTTATTAAAACTGGGCATGCAAAAACTAGGTATGCGTCATTCTTGCGCTCTCTTGACAGGAGGTGCGAACTCTTGCTTCTTATGCACTTTCCATCAGTGCTTGATGAATTTAGATGTGCCTGTGGTTACCTGGGGATATTGCTAAAGTGTAGGCCCTGACGAAGAAGTGGGAAGAGGACAAGGATGCTGGGCATTTGCATTTTTAACAAGTTCAGAGACAATGTGCATGCTGCTGATCCAAGAAGTATGCTTTGAGTAGCATCAGTTAGATGCTAGATGGGAGCTGCAGTCACTCATTCCCTGTGGATCCTGATCCTCTGCTTTGTGCAGGGCTTCACCTGCAGGCAGCATTTCTGGGAACACCAGCAAGCCCTGCCAGTGCTTCACCTCGGCCTCAGCTTGTTCTGTACCTTGGCTCAGATGCTTGACTATATCTTGTCTTGCTCCTCAGTGTCATGGAAGTATTTCCCCTTCCCACTGCCCCTCCATTCCCACTTCATACTCACTTCCCAGGCTAACACCCCTGGCTCCAGGTCCTCAATCCAGTTTTAGCAGTGCCCTTTGTACATGTGCATTTTTAATTCCATCTATTTATATAGTGCTGCTTTTCCATTGGCGCTTTCACACACCATTATCTATTTTCATCCTCTCCTGAGCCTGCAAGCATAGCAGTCCTGACTTTTCTCCCTGTTTCCTTCTGCTCCAAGCCAGGTATGGAGTTATATGTAGATCACCTCAGGAAAATGACATCCATAAATCCAGCCAGTGTCTTCTGTCATCTTCTGTCCCTCTTCCTTCCTGAGTCCTTCCGGACTCTTCTGTCTCTATGCTCAAAACTTCTTCCTCTACAATGTGTCATTGGAAAGCTAACGTATCATTGGCTTTGGATCCTGTAGACTCAAGTCCAACTAAGCTTCAACATGTGAGGCAGCGTAGTGTCAAGAGCCCAGGATTTGGGTGTTTTGAGAAGGCTCTAAGTTCACTTTTACCTCTCTGTAGGTTTGTACATTCAGGTAGGTTATTTTACTTCTCAAAATCTGTTTCTAGGTAAAAAGGGGCTAGTGGTACTAAATTCAAGTACTTGGTATAAAGGCTTGATAAAATAATTTGTTGAAAGTACCTAACATGGTGTCTAGCACAGAGTAAAAATTTGTGACCTTAAGAATGTTATGTCAATTCTCTGACTCTTGGTGTCATTATGGGCAAAACAGGAATAATAGTACTCATCCCACCCCTCATGCAGGGGATTAGTGAGGACAGAATGAAGCAGAACATGTGGAGTGTGGAATCACTTGATCTACAGATGTCTCTCTTTGATTTCTTTTTGGGGCAGAACTGCTGGGGTTGTAGGGCCTTCCTGCTATGAAAGCTCTTCCTCTCCACTGCCTGCTGTTCCCATTTTCTCATGCTCCCTTCTTCCTTTCCCTTCTCCATATAGCTAACTCAGGTGACCATGTAAGGGGAGAATGGAATATCATTGTTCTCCCTTAAACAAGGTGATGGAAAAATGGCAGGAGCTTATAAGTATGAAGATAAATACACAAAATAATGACCACTTTATTGGTCATTAAAAACTTAGCTCTTTATTGGGTCACTAAAAACTGGGTCCCATGGGAAATAACCAATTATAGAAGACATACCCCATCTCTCTAGAGGCTTGTAATTCCACAAACACTAACCCAACAAGCAAACAAAAACCCACCTTACTTCATGTAAGATTACATGGAGAAAATTCAACCCTAAATAGAAATTCTATAGCCTAAAAACCCAATGGCCACCACGTAAAATAAGAATGATTATTTTGTACCTCACACCTAACAAAATCAGTCTTTGCTTTCTTCTTTCCTCTTGTTTTTCCTTTCTATTTTGTTGGTTGCTTAAAAGAAGAAACCACTAGTAAACTTTGTCCTGCTTTCTCTCATCTTACAGTGGACCCTAGGGTTTCTGTTCAACATAAAGAAAAGGAGGCCATGGAGAAGATGAAGAATTATTATGCAGGACTGTGTCAACTACTGTAATTGGAAGAGGAAAAAGTCTTAAGAAACAAGTCTTTTAGAGAAAAGGTGAGAAAGGCAGAATTTGCAAATCTTGTAAATTCTGAATCCTAGACAGCCAAGTAGAATTGCCTGGGAAGATATTTTTTCAAGTTTACCAAAACCAGGCCTCCACCTTTCTTGCCAGTGGTATTTTTCTAGGCTCCAGGAGACGTTAATGAGCACCCTGAGAACAGAAGCACTGTCTTAGTGACAAAGTAAATGCTACTGAGTCGACCAGTAAAGGAAAATACAGGCTCAACTTTACCCAAGGCTGTGTTCTCTCTCTTTCTGTCCTTCAGTCAAGGCCTTCTGATTTCCCAAATGCACGAAACCCTCCCACACCTGAGCCTCCACAAATGCCCTGTGCCTAAAATATTCCCCCTCTTTTCTCATCCATCCAACTTGAGCTCATTCTCCAGGTTCAGCTCGATGAAAGAGCAAAGGAAACTTTAGCTAACCTGAACTGTAGTATCCAGTGTGTCTTTTCAGCATCTATTTTAAGTAAATAATGTAATTTTTGTATAATACTGTAATGTTTAATCACTTCGCAGGATGCCCAAAGTGTGGTTCCACAGCCACCACTACCAGGGACCTTGATAGGGATGCAGATTGTTCAGATTTTCTGAGCCAGACACTAGGAGTGAGGCCCAATATTTGAGTTAAATGGTCCTCAGGGTGGTTCTAATGGACACTGACCTTTGAGCACCACTCGGCTAGAGTCTTACTTTCTTGAGGGGCAAGAATTGCATCTGTTTATGTTACTATCCCATCCTTAATGTCTACATCCTGAAGAGGTATATGATTGAGAAATTTCTGGTGAATGAATGAGTGTATGGTACAAGAATCTGAGGTGGAGTCTAGGGACCTGGCAGTAAAGAGCGTGTTCATGTAGGTTAAAGATAAACTCTTTATGACACAAAGCCACATGCAGAGTGGGAATTTATTTATCTTCAGTTGGTGCTGGGGCAAGATCCAACTCATTTAGAGCTTAGAAGACCATGTACAAGATGTCGGTCTTTATCTTCAGAGAAATTGGAAGATCGCACCAGGTCTAACCATGGAACAGTAGCTTTAGAGGAAGCAGAGAGGGCGCTCTGGCTGAAAGACATAAGATTTAAGGAGGAGATTGGTTACAAGAGGAAGGGGTGGCAATGGTAACAAATGGAGACAGAGGCCTCTGGGAATGTCAGAGAAGGTGCATTGCCCCTCATGGGAAGACATGGGAAGAGGGGAGACTAGGCTGAGCTAAGGCAAGGGCAGGCAGAGGGAGGGGACATTGATGAGGTATGAGGGAAATGAGGAGCTGGGGGATGTCCCTGAAGGCATAGGAAGACCGTAGAAAGGAGGCAAAGATGTGCATTTAGGAAGAGAAGGAGACATTCTGGGTGGAAGAATAGCCAGAATAATCCATCCTATAACCTCCCAAAAGAAGGTAGCACAGGCCGGGTGGCACATGTCATGACCTATGATATTGTTTACTTGGCAACTACGTCTCATTCAATTTGTAATCATGGAAATCACTTGATTTCTACTCATGGGCACCATTTAATTGCTAATCATGATGAACTTAGAGTAGCTGAGGATCAAGGTAAATCTCATCTCCTTGTTCTATTACTGATGCCTGAATTCTGGCCTTGATCCTTGGAAACTTACACCCTAGGTCTAGTACTGGTTTTTATCCTTATAACTTATCAGAGAAGATTGTGCATTTTTTTCTCTCAATTCTTCCATTCACACATTTGCCTACTATGTGTTGCAAGTTAAAATCCTCCTTTGAAGGTATGATAGACAGTGTGAAATGATAGGAAACTGCTGAAGAGTAAAGGGCAACTGGGATGTGGGAAAAGAGAAGGGAAAGAAGGAGAAATTTTGTATGTATGTATATACAGGATAGTTAACATGGTTGTTCTTCTGTCTTCTATTTCTATGCTGAAAGAAACTGTCAATGAGTCTTTGGTTGACCAGTATTGCATGTCTGTATCTGTTTTCATGAGAAGCCACTTTGAAGATATCAATATGTAATACAACAAGCATTGTTAATTCCCTACCACTTTGTTTGTAACTCTGTATTGTCTGTACTGTGCTTGTGATGTTGTAAAATGTTGTCTGTCTGTTAATGTTTCCCTCCTTTTATCTTTAAAATAAAAAAAAAATCCTCCTTTGGGATCATATCATCATGGCTGGGTCCCTCTTTCTGCAACCAAATTTCCTTGATGACAACTGTCAACCTGTTGTCACCTCCGGAGAAGAGTCCCACTCCACCAGGAACAGTAGCCCCAAGATGTCAACTGACTACAAAGTCCCCAGGAAAGACAATACTCATACAGGCATAGGGTGAAACAATGTTTTCTCTCACAAAGACAGCATAGAGCAAGATCAGCTCCACCAGTGAGCATCGGTTCACTGTGGCTAGCAACAGGATAGTGACCTCCATGGGCTCCTTTCACACTGTAAGCAAGTCCTTCCCACAGGAAACAGATACAATAGTGGGGTTGATCGGGCACTAAATAATGCATGAATTAAGTGAACAAACGAGGACATGTTGAGCTTGAAATAGGGAAAAATATTCCTGCAAGGGGCTCTTTATCTTTTAGCAAGGACGTGATCTAGGCTCCAGGCATATTCTTTGCCCACACAGGGATCCAGAAGATCACATGCATATGTCTGCCTTTACCAATTACACTCGTCTCAGAGAAGCTTGAAAAGTGAGAGTTGAAGGGAGTCTTTGGGATTATACCATCTACTTCCCTATGTGTGTCCATTGTGCAGGTGGTTGGCAGACACCAGGGTGATCTATTAGTTGTCTCAGTGCTTATGCCGTGTCCCAGTGAATCTACTCAGTTGCCAACATCCCAACTTCTGGTCCAAACAACTTCTAAGCCAAAATTTTGACATTCAAGACATTGAATATAAAGACAATACCCAGAGAATATACAGCAATAGAACTCTGATCAACACATTCTTCAGAAACCAGTTCAGGAAGCAAAACCTCAGCCTCCAGAAGTCAGTCTAGAACACTCAGCAATTAGTCAGTGACAAATATATTCCTTATTTTTTTTTTTTATCTGAAGCTCTGTTTGCAATTCAGGACCAACCCAAAGAAGGCCAAATATCCAAACTTAACTAATCACATTGGATGGGCTTCTTTTAGTTAACCAACTGACAGGTCCCATGCTAACCACCTCCAATCAGAGCTCACCTGAAGCCTTCCTTTCCTCCACTACAGAGGAGGTGATGGAAATTTAACACCTTGGCTCTGTGATGGAAATTTAACATCTCATGTTTTCTTCTATTTAGCATTACAATAAAAATCTCCCACATTTATGTATTAAACAGTGAGGTCTGAAGTTAAGTCATTTTAGCTTATGTTCTTATTCTTAACATGCTAATTTTGGTATATATTTTGAGTACTTCATGCTAAAAATTGAAATCATAGAAGCCCCCACCTATATTCTACTACCTCTATATTTTTGGCTAAGTGTTTCCAAAAAATATTGACTATATACCATTCTAATAAACTTTTATTTTCTATTTTCCTATTGTCTCTTTCCCAAACTTATGAAGTTGGCTTCAGAAATTAAGTGCTCATGATTTCAGCAAGTAAGTAATCAGCCCTCTCTAACTAGAGGGAAGGAAATAAATATTGAGATAAGGGGAAGATCTTAGGTCTTTTCTTTCCATGCACCCATTCCATAACTTTGACTGTATCTGAACTTTGTCAGGATGGTCAACCATATGAAGAGAAAAACCTTAGAAAACACATATCAGATCATATCTGCACTAAGTAACTTATTAACATTACAGGCTGAATGTTTTCCTTTAAATAACTGACATTACTCTCTTTTCACAAGTTCACTAAAATACAGTTTACTAAAAATTGTGCAATAACTATTTGTATATTAACTGTGTGCAAGACACTATGCTTGCTATTATGAAACATACTAAATTAAAAATGGAAGATTTATTCTCCAAGGTTCCTAAGTTTTAAGATATGCTACTTCATTTCTACCTTTTTTTCTTTGTAGGTTCTGGGGATTGAACTCAGGACCTTAGGGATGCAAAGCACATGGTCTACCACCAAACTACACCCCCAGCTATCACTTTTACCTTTCAATGTTTTGCTTACCGTCATTGAATCTTTGTATCTTAGAATATCATGAAACTGGATGTTTATGTTTTTATTCATTTAGCACAATTTTGTTCTGCGGGTGTATTTTGCACAAATTTACCAAAAACAACTGAACTGCATTGGAGTATTTTAAAAATTAAAACAAATACATCTTAAATTATTTGGGGTGGTGGATAATTGGGCTACTTGAAGAGCATGTTTGAAGTAGTTTCCAGGAAACACAATTGACAAACAAAATGTTGAACTTATGAATAAGTCTCCACTTGTTTCATAGATATGGACATCTGAGTTTTGATAAAATGCATACTAGGATGTTATTGCCTACCGCAATCCACCACCAAAGTCCCAGTTTTCTGTGTATGAACACAACCACTTCTATAATTAGGAAGGTTATCAATTGTGAAATACACTATTGATTCAGTAACAGATTTTTGAAGGAACAAGCTATTCTATACAATGTACATATAGTTATAAAAGTATTAAGGTATGATCACCTTCAAATCTAGGAAATATAATTTACTCACAAATTGCATATGATAGATATTTTTGTCACGAACACTCCTACATATATTTCAATGTATCCCCTATCATCTATGTGGGAAGACCTTTATCACAGTAAATATATTTCTGTCTCACATGCTAACTATCACATACCATCAAGAGAAGCACACTTCTCACAGTTTGGGTGCCATTTTCCCCTTCTTTAAATATTTCGGTGTAAATGAGAATTTCAGTGTGGTGATATCATGGGTAGTTTAAATTTACAACAGTCAGGAACTTCCCAAAGTAGATGAAAACTTGTGAACATCACATGTGCACAAGACGGTTAAGTGTTGTTGCTTACTTTGACTTCAGTTGTGCTTAGAAACCCTTATATCACAAATAAAACTGGATCTGTTTTATGCTGATTTATTTAATTTTAATTACTTAGGCTCACTCTCCAAAACCCAGTAAACAACTTAGACACAACATGTTGAGGGGAGTTAAGTGTGGTACCTAATCACAGGAGAAAAATACAAGGCCAAAGAGAAAAGATGAACAAGGATAAAAGATGACATAGCCATCTGTCAGGTCCCAAGGGATATGCTGGATTTCATGTCAGTGTTTTCTGCTTTCCTTTTCAATGCTTTACTGGGAAGAACGTTGCTCAGACAGCAATATTCAGGTATAGGATTTGGAGAGACACAACTTATAATAGTTAACTGCTTTTAGATATCCTTGATATATAACTTGGTTTGTCCACTAACAGATTTTCAACCATGGCTTAAAAGCATAGATTTTACCTCGACAGGAATCTCAAAAATGCTGAAGACTTTTTGCATGTATGAGTACATATATTTTTTCAAGTGCAAGGCCAAGGACTCTGTAGAAAAATCTTTACAGAGGTAAAAACTTATGGTTCCATCAAAAAGTATAACAGGATAATTTTAAAATATCCCATAACTCAACCAGGTAAAGCACATGGATATTTATTTATTTATTTATTTCTCTCTTCTCTGTTTTCTTTCTTTTCTTCTTTCATTCTCCTTTCTTTCTTTCTTTCTTTCTTTCTTTCTTTCTTTCTTTCTTTCTTTCTTTCTCTTTCTTTATTTCTCCTTCCTTCCTTCCTTCCTTCCTTCCTTCCTTCCTTCCTTCCTTCCTTCCTTCCTTTTGTTCTTTCTTTATTTCCTTTTGAAACTGAATCTCACTGTGCAGCCCAGCCTAGCCTCGACTTCTCTAGCCTCCTGCATCAGTCTCTCAAGTGCTGGGATTATAGGTGTGCACCAACATGTCTGGGAAGTATGCACTCTAAAAAGAAGTCCATGGAAATCACTGAAAGAAAAAGTAATCCATATGTGCTAGAGCTAAGCAGAGAATGAAAAACCTAAGAAGCACAACTGTGTCTGATGAAGCAGCTATTCTAGAAAACACCCATCGCAAGTACTTAATTGCTTAAGTAAATTTTTCCTTTTATGCTAACTTAAAATTGTATAAATTTGACTTTACAATTATAAACCTGATATACACAGATTTTTAAGTGTGTATAACTTGATAAGTTTTGATAAATATATACACTCGTGAAACCAGTACCTCTAGTCAAGATATAGACCACCTTTATACCTCAGAAAGTTCCCTCAAACCTCTTTGCAGTCAATTTCTACACCCACAGGCAATTATTGCTCTGATTCTTATCATCGTATGGTCGTATCATCATCTTCCTGAATGTTATTTAAATGGAATCATGGTGCATATATGTTTTGGTGTATAAATTATTTCATTTAACATGTTTTGAGAATTTAAACACATGTGTTATGGTAATTCATTCTTATTTACTGTTAATATTCCCTCATGTAAATGAAATATTTTTCCAGTTGTATCTGCAGTTTGCACACTATGAATAAAAGTGTTATATATGATCACCCACGGGTGATTTTGTTTTGATTTCTTTTGGATAAGTACCTAAAAGTAGAATTCCTGGATAATAAAATAGGTATATGTTTAAGTTTTAAGGAATCACCAAAAGGTTTTTTCCAAAGTTATTGGAATAACCTACAATCTTATCAGCAATGTATGTGAGTTCTAGTTGATCTACAATTTCACCAATATCTGATGTTATTTTATAACATATATATAATCTTAACTGTTCTACTGGGTATAAAATAGTATCATTTTAAAATGAATTTACTTGATGACTAATGCTAGTGAGAATCCTATCATGTGTTCAACTAGCTATTATATATCTTCTTTTGTGAAATATCTATTGAAGTCTTTCCCCCTTTTTAAAAATTAACTTTTAATAATTGATTTCTGATAATTCTTTATTCATTTCAGATGTAAACCCTTCAGTATGTTGCTCAGATAGCAGTATTCAGGTACAAGATTTGAAGGGACACAATTTACCTATTCTTTTCTGATAGGTATGCTTTTTTACTTCTTTCACTTATCACTCTTTCAAGGATTCATTTGGCAATGATCAATACAAATGGTAAGTATGGAGACTCTTGCCTTTTTCCCAGTGTTGGCATAAAGCACTATATTTTATAATTAAGCATGATTAAATTGTAATTTTTTATTGATGCTTATTGTCAGACTGAAGCATGTCCCTTTTATTTCTAGTTTGTCAAATGAATATTGAAATCCACTGAATAATTTCTTCATCTGTTGAGATGATAGGTTTTTTATGTCCTTTTTATCTTTTTTTAATTTTAAAGAGAAAAGAACAAAAACAAAACAACGAAAACAAAACAAAAACTATAAAAATGATACAGAATTTAAAATCAAGATGATAGGAAATCAACAATGGTTGTTGTATTACTTATTGTTATCTTCAAAGTAGTTGCTCAGATTGCAAGATATAGGTATACAAGACTGATCAAACAACTAAACATTAACTGTTCCTTTCAGTAAACTAATAGAAATTAGTAGAACAATGTGTCCTTTTATCTTGTGAAGAACTATATTGATTTTAATTATTAGATTTGTGACTATTAAATCAACTTTGTATTCACTTATTTGTTTGTCTCTTTGTTTTTGAGACAGGTCTCAATATGTAGTTTAGGCTGGTCTTGAACTGACTATGTAGCCCAGGGTGGCCTAGAATTCTTGTCAATCCTCTTGCCTCCCAAGCACTGGGATTACAGGCATGAACTGCCTCACCTGAAATATTTTTTTCTTATTTAAATCACTTAGTAATGGCCTGTCCTAGAGTTTCAATATAGGAAACATTATCAATGTGCACAAAAACTCTGGCCACTACAAGAATCATGAAAATTTTATGTCTTTTAAGAAGTTCTATATATTACACAGAGTGAAAAACATTGCTGTACCAGAGAGTCAGATGTGAACAATGCATCTAGATAGAAATGGGTCTTGCTAAGGCACAATTCATTTAGGCAATAAGGGAGAAGAAGGAGATGGCTACTTTCTGTGTTTGTCCATTTGGCACCAGAATCTTCAACAATAAGGTCTGTACTGGTCCATTTAGGCTGCTATCACAAAATATGTAAGGCTGGGCAATTTACAAATACAGATATGCATTTCTCACGGTTCTGGAGGCTAGGAAGTGCAAGATCAAAGAAGCAGTGCGTCCAGAGTCTCGTGAAGGCTCACACTCTGCTTCGTGTTTGGCGCTTCCTCCTGTGCCCTCACCTTAGAAAGGCCTGTAGGGTCTGGGACACTTGTTTTAATCTCTCTCAAAAGGTCATTAATCAATTTATGAGGAGATGGTCCTTATCACCTAATCACCTCCCATAGGGTACATCTCTTAATATTATTGCACTGGGAATTAAGTTTCAACATAGGAATTTGGGGAGAACAACAATATTCAGACCATAGTCGAGAAGTAATTTCCAAATATCTACAAATAACTATGTCAAAAAGTATTGTTTACCACTGACACAATTTAATGATAATGTGAAACGGATTTTCTGATAATGGCAACCCTCATTCTACTGTATTTTTGAGGACATAGAAAAGGTCCTGGTATCGGGCTGCGGATTGAGCTCAGCGGCACAGCGCCTGCCTGGCAAGAGTGATGTCATGAGTTTGATTCCCGGTACCGGAAAAAACAAAAACCAAAAAAAAAAGAGAAAAGGTTCTGGTATCGGTCTTATGTTCTGCCTACTTAAGAAGATTTTGGTAACTCTTAATCAGTGTGGAGGTACAATACCCTGTATTGCTCACTTCTTCATGGTGCAAATTATCACTGCTTTCATGTCTTGATCTCTATGGCTTTTTCTTCAAGTATCGCAGCTTCAGGATTTAGTTTTTCCAATGTGCATTTATCTAAGGATTGTCTTTGAGCACCAAGTCATACTTGTTGGCCTGAATACTTCTACAGTGTCCTGGTTCTAAAAGACATGCTGGCTCTTCTCTTTCTCTGATACAGGCTTCATTCTATATTCCAAGACACACCTGGCTTAATATGTTAAAATGTAATCAGATGGGACCTTCATAGATTGATAGGTGAATTAACTAAAAGATTAATGGTTATTCCAAGGATGGGTTGATCATAAAAGCCACTTTGTGTCTGTCTCTTATATAAACCTCAATTTCCATGTGATGCCTTGTGCTATTTTTAAAGCCTACAAAGTCCCCAATAGTAAGAAAGCTCTCACCAAGTGCAGCTCTTCACCCTTAGACTAGCCAGCCCCCAAATTGTAAGATATACATCTATTTTCCTTGTAAAGTATCCATTCTATGATACTCAGTTATAGGAACAGAATATGAACTGAGACCCTAGGTGAGCCACTACCATTGCTGAGCAATGTATAAAGCTACAGCACAGCCAGCATCCTCGAGGCGCTCACAGCAAATAGGATGCGATTGGTAAGCGCCCCTGCTGAGTTGTGCAAAGGGCTCATGCAGCTTCCCAGGCCTGGGGAAGAGTTAGCTCAAGAGTTTTGTCATCACCCTCTCCACATGTGAAAATCTTTATCTATACAGGAACCACCCCACCCCACACACAGAGGTCAAATTTTAGATATTGCAGGTGGTCTATAATGGCAAGTTCTTTGTTTGAAGCTTTGAGTATAATTTAATCATAGTGGCCCAGGATTGAAAGGTCTGGTGAAGTCAAGGCTGCTGGGATTGAGACTTTGTGCTTCATGGTTTCTCAATCTCAAATACTACCAGATACCTCCTCTATAGCAGCCAAGGAAAGAAGAAGAAAACATTTGTGCTAAGGCAATAGTAGGAAGGGAAAGAGAGGTTTAGAATAACACCAGGTCCAATCAGGAACGGAGGGATAGGCTTCAGTCGGGGAGAAGACAGGCCTGTGAGGATAAGGGGATAAGGACGGATCTGGGAGGGTAACGAGCAGCTCAAAGCCCATGACCCTGGGAGGCTGTGGCATATGTTGGAAGGAAGCAGAAAGGGACCAGTGGGCGTGCAGGGGCCATGAAGCAGAAGCAGGAGAGGCCTCTGAGCAGCCAGAACCCAGCTAGTGCCACCTCACCAGGAGACAGCCACTGTGCGGGTGCTGCTGAGCCTCCCTCTTGGCTAGAAGCAGTCGCAGCTGAGTGGTGAGTCAGCACCAGGCAGTCATTCACCCTCTTTTGAAGCCAAGTCTCTAGTCATTTCTGAGAAAATAAAATATACAAATAGATCACGGAAAAGGTTTTTTCCCTTCAGAACTTATGAGTGAACCCATTCTGTATTTTACTAATAAAAGGAGCTACCTGTTAATTGTACCTTAATTGTACCTTACCTTACACTTGGGGGATGAACACTACTTCAGTAAATTGTGTTCATTAGCAATGCTGCTGCCACTCGTGCTGACAAAGGACAGATGTAGCTTGCCCAGAAATGACATGTGAGGAGATGTCAATGCACCACTGCCTGCTAAAAATACATTTCCAACGCCACGTGAAGGCGTTCGGAGTAAATCAGTTTGCCCTTCGCATGCGTTTTGGTATGAATAAGCTTGGATTCTCTGTCTATGTTGTCTCAGCAGGCCCCTTTCCACAGCCCAAAGCCTCTCTTGTGACCTAGTGTTACCAAAATGTACATACTAGTCCTTACCCCTCCTTTCCCCACACCCAAAGCCCACCCTTCTAAGGAGCATTTCCAAGTAAGGACTAGTCACAGTGCAGGCCCTACCCTCAAAAGACACTGGTTCAAATTTTGGCTTCACCACTTACTGGCTGTGTAAACCTTAGAAATGTTTCTTAATGCCTTTAAACTTTACATTATCACTTGTACAACAGGAAAAAACATAGTACCATTCAGTCCTTTGTGAGTACCAAATATAATCAACCATATAAAACATGTAACACAGGGGCTGGGGATTTAGCTCAGCAACAAAGCGCTTGCCTGGCAAGCACAAGGTCGTGAGTTTGATTCCTGGTACCAGAAGAAAAGACAAAAAAATAAAAAATAAAAAATAAAACATGTAACACAGTATCTGATGCAGAAATATTCAATAAATATTGTCATTATCACCAATTACTTCCAGTAGCAGCACAATACCTGCACCCCAGACCCCTTAGACTATACATGCTCTGTATCTTCTTCCCTCGGATTGCTGTTCACTAGCATCGACCTGCTGAACCTCTGCTGCAAAAGCAGAGGGTATGGATAATGTTAAGAGTGATGCAACACATCCTGATTAAGATTATATCATGTAGGGCATTTCAAACTACACAAAGCGGGTAAAAGGATGGCGCATATGTATTATACTATTGTTTGAGGGAAGCCACACATGGCAAGGGCATCCTACAAATTTTTTAGTTGAATGATTCCAGTAACTTTTCTGATAAGTAAATACTTCATAAAAGGTGGTTTCCTACCTGCTTGAGACTGGAAAGCTACTCTAGAATCCAGTCTAGTGTGGAGACAGAGCTCCTGTAAGCAACTAACTGTAGTAGTGAGTGCTTCCATTCAGATGATAATAATAGCAATAATAATAATAGTAACACAACTGTTATTTACCAGCAGTTCCATTATGAGTCTGGCATTATAGTAGTCAATTCCCATATCTCAATATATTTGATCTTTTATTTGTTTTGTTTTGTTTTGTTTTGTTTTGTTTTGTTTTTTTTTCTGGTACCGGGAATTGAACTCAAGACCTTGTGCTTGCCAGGCAGGCGCTGTGCCGCTGAGCTAAATCCCCAGCCCCAACATATTTGATCTTTACAACAATCCTTCAAAGTCATAGCTTGGATCTAAAGTATCCCCCCAAAGACTCATGTATTAAAGGCTTGGTTGCAAATCTGAGCTGCTATTAGGAGGTAGCAGAACATTTAAAAGATGGGGGCTAGAATAAAAAGTTAGGTCACCATAAGGGGTGAGGTTACTGGGGCCCAGCCCCTTCCTGTCTTTGCTTCCCAGTTGCTGTGAGGTAAGCAGACCTCCATGATAGACTGTGCCACCACAGGTCCAAAGGGATGCAGCTTAGTGATATGGACTGAGATCTCTGAAATATAAGTCAAAATAAACCTTCCCTCCTTTTAAGTTGGTCATCTCAGGCATTTTGTCCCAGTGATGGAAAGCTGGTTAATGCAGTATCGTTATTATAGCTAGGCAGAAGAGGAAACTAATCTGACTCACTTGGTGACTGGGAGGCTGAGAAAGGTGGCTATGAAGAGCACAGCTGAGGAGAGGTGGATTTCATTAAGGGAAGGAGGTGAGGGAAGTATCACAGAGAAGATGAAGCTGGCCTTGTAGAATCAGGCGTTTTCTAGGCCAGTAACAAAGAGGTTTGTACAAAAGCAGCCACATGTGCAACCTTGTGGAAATACGCTGTATGGATGGGTAGGACTGAGACAGGCACGCTGGCCCAGGACGGTAAGAGCACGGAGCACAGGCTGCAGGGCTGCTGCAGTCTGGCTCTGTCCGTACGGGTTGAATCCTGCGTCCAGCATGAGCACGGCTTCCTTCACAGCCCCAGCATGAAAGTCACTGCTTGCCCCACATGGCACTACATTTCCAATATGTTCTTGCCCTCTGCGTGCCTGATCCCACTGATATTTAATACAGCCCCGATAGGACCGACTGGTGGCTTCCTTGCCTGATCACCACTGATTCCTCCAACCATTCTGCTTCCCACAGCTCAAGACAATCAGCTGGTCCAAGCTTGCTTGTGATGAAAGACATTTTCCAAGTGCTATGTGAGTTTTGCTGACCCAGAAAAGGACATGGATTCTACCTTGTAGGCCAGAAGTCTTCAAATGGGAATGTGTGGGTGGATACCCTCGATGGAATCATAAACCATTAGAATTTTGGATGAAATATTGTGATTAATTTTTTTCTTCAGTTCTAGAGACCAAAACCAGAGCTATGCACATGCCTGGCAAGTGCTCCAATGCTAAGCTCTATCCTCTGCTCTTAACTGAAGTTTTAAAGAAAACTGAAGCTTGCATTAGATATTCAAAGGTAAATATGGCTTTCTGAAAAGACTAAAAACCATAGAAATGCTGTGCTGTCGAGCTACATGTGTCTATTTAAATGATCTAAAATCAAATACAATTTGAAGTCTGGTTTCTTGGTCTCTCTAGCCACATTGCAAATTTATGAGTGGACACTGGGCAGCACAGACAGTGAAGCACTTCCATCTCTGCAGGAAGTCCACCAGTGCTGGGATAGATCACGGAGAGCCACTGAGCATGTTAAAGAGGGGAATGGCATGGTCAGATACATGACTGGAAAAACTAACTCTGGTCACAAAGTGGAGGACAGACTTGGGGAAGGAATGGCAGGAGTCTAGGGGAGCAGCCAGGAGGAGCTGATCTGTGCGGTGGCAAGGGGAATGGAGAGCAGGTGACAATTTTGATAAGTTCATCAGAGTACTGAGGAAGGGCTGTACCGGGGATAGATGCGGACAAAGGAGTTAAAGACAGCCCTGCCCTACACATTTGAAGAGTGGGAAATGCCCTAAATGTTTCTTCTCTCACCTCCTCTCCTTCTACTGCTCCTCCTGTTTACATGAATTACCCCCGGCCCAGGTCCTGGGTCAGGACCCCCACGCTGCAGTTCCTTGCATCACAAATACGCTTACCGTTGGCATCCATGTGTGTGCTCCCTCACCTCCCCCAAGGGCTTGCTCACCCAGGCCTTCCTAGTGACTACATGAGTGACTAGGAGAGGGGAGAGTGGCGGTCAGAAGCAGATGTGATGCTGAGGAGAGAATGAGTCAGTCTGCATGTGCTGAGTTCTTGGGGGTCTGAGTCACTGAAAAGCAGGAATATGTGGCATGGAAGGAGGGCAAACTTTCCTGGGCAGGATGTCCAAACGGGCCAAATGGCTTTTCCACCACAGCCGCTCTGTTCTTCCAGTGGCTTTTATTTTTATAAATCTTCTCTCAAGAAATGTCCTGATAAACTTATTAGCCCTCACTCCTAAAACACTGACACGTGCAACGTGTCAGCCAAAATGAGAAAGGATCCTGTGCCACAGGACCGGCGCATTTTGTGTATCAGTAAAAAGAAGAAGCTATTGAGAACACATTTTCCTAACTCCTCCCATTCCCAACACCTCCTACGTGGCTTTCTGATCTGATGAGCTGGCTACATACAGCGAATTTGAAAGGCATTCAGCAAAGGTGAACAGAAAAATTCCTTGTGACCAACTGTCCATTACTCAGAAAACGTAAGTAGATCAGATGTCTCATTCCTGCACCCTCCAAGTAAGTAGCTTGGTAATCACAATGTTACTGTATAATGCAAAAATTTCCAAATAGAACTCAACTGAAATCTATAAATACACATGATTAAGTCTTCAAATATAGCACTGCTTTCTTTTCATGGGGGCTATTTCTGTGTGGTGATTGCCTGGCTGATATGCAATTTCAGAATACAAATGGCTTTTCTCCGTAACTAATGGGAAACTTGGCAAGATTCTGCACAGCCAGGCCCTCTCCGTGAAGAAGTCTGTTAAACTGCTGGGAGTGCTCTTCGAAATTACATAAGCAGAGCTGACAAGAGGCAGAAGTGCAACTTCACATCCTGCTAGCATGAAATAGTGTTTGTTTAGTTTTTCTCGTGGTACTAGGAGAATATCAGCTTTTCAGAATTAAGTACTAAAATGACCATGAGCACATATTCCCATTACTCTAAATCAACTACACTAAACTAGAAATCAGGAATAAATTCCATGGAGAGTTCTCTGACCCTGGATTCATAAGTAGCTAAGAAAAAGCTTAAATAAGAGGGATGTACATAAATTCATAACCATGGTGACTAAACCAGATGCCTGATGCAGAAACCTCTGACTGTCATTAGCAAAATACTGACCAAGGGTTTATCATCTTCCCCCAGTATCGAAGAAAGTGGACTTAGGATTATAAGGGGCCCTCAGCACTATAAAGTGACTTTTCTAACATCTCCACAGAGAGCAGAATGCACCTTCGGGTGAGGCTTCAGGCCAGTTTGAAAAATATTATGAAATACTTATATTTAGAAGTTTAGAGAATTATGGATTTTTGATTCAATGTTCAAAGGTCAGTTCTTTCACTAATTCTGTGGCTTTGGATAAATAAGACTTAGAGAAGTCTTCTGATTTGTACCGTGGGGTTTTGAAGTATTACCCATGTCTCTCTGTAACTGAAAAGGCATGGGGTAGAGATAAAGCATGGGGAAGTTCAGCCTCTGATACATAATAAACACCTAGCAAGACAGAGACATATTTAATGTTTTATCTGAAATCCTGTCTGCAATCTCATCCTTTGATCCAAGCCTTCCGCCTCTGGTTCCATTGCCCTTCTTTCTGGAGGATCTTTTAAGAACAAGGGCAGACCAGGTGTGGAGTCAGTCAGCTGGTATTAGAACCCGAGTAGATGGTGAGATGCCAAAC